TGTGTTAAATCTGTAGAATAAATTGATGAGAACTGCCATACTAGCTATATTGTCTTCTCACTTGTAAACATATGTCTCCTTAATTCATCTTTTTTACATCATTCATTAACATTTTGCAATTTGCTGTATGGTGCTTCTCTGATGGCTCAGAGGGTAAGGAATCTGCCTGCAATGCAGGAGACCTGGGTTTGATCCCTGGGTCAGGAAGATGCCGTGGAGAAGGGAATGGCTACCCACTCCAGTATTCTTACCTAGAGAATCCCAAGGACAGAGGAGCCTGGTGGACTCTTTTTGCAGTATAGAGATCCTACACATTTGTAGCTATGTATTTCTTTACTTTCCACTTCCTTTTTACTTTTCAGAGTACAGCAAATGGTGTATATTGCTTAAATTTATTTTCTAATTGTTCTCTTCTTGTTGTTTAGCATGTCTGACTCTTCTGTGACCCAATGGACTCTCACTGCAAGGCTCCTCTATCCACACGATTTCCCATTTAACAATACTGGAGTGGGTAGTCACTTCCTTCTCCAGGGGATCTTCTTGACCCAGGGATCAAATCTGTCTCCTGTATTGTCAAGCAGATTCTTTACCACTGAGCCACCAGGGAAGCCAGATTGTTCACTGCTAGTACACAAATGCAGAAACTTCTGCATGTTAATCTAGTATCTTCTGACCTTGTTAAACTCATTAGTTCTAAGAGCTTTTTTTTTGTTGATTCCTTGGGTTTTTCTAAGAGGACAATCATGTTATCTTTAAACAGAGGCCATTTAATTTCTTCCTTTTTTGTTTTTTTGTACCTTTGTACCTTTTTTGTTCTTGTTCTTGGCTGATTGCATTAGCAAGGATTGGTTAGGAGTGTTTAGAGTGGACATCATGACTTGTCCCTGACCTTAACATCATTCAGCTGATCATCACTACGCACGATGTTAGTTGTGGGTTTTGGTAGATGCCCTTTATTAGGTTAATTTCTCTTTTATTTCTGATTTTCTTAGTTTTTACCATAAATACTGTCAAAAACTTTTCTGCATCTATTGATATGATCATGTCTTTTTCCCCTTTCTAGTTCAGTTTGGATCTGTGTCAGTCTGTCTTCCGTTATGGACTCTTTTCTCTGTCATCTCTATTCTGCTGCTACTAGTATGTCCGGTGATTTTTGCTTTTGTATATTTTGTGACTGTATTGTTTAGTTTTAAAAATTCCATTTGGTTCCTTCTAATGTATTACCTGTTTTCCTGCTGAGAACTTTTAAGTTTCCATTCAAGAGTGGTCACATTTTTTGAAACATTGTTGTAATGCCTACTTTTATAATTCCAACATTCGTGTCATCCTGGGGCACGTTGTCTTGGGGCCTGTTGTCTTTTTCCTTATGAACTATTGAGATTTTCCTAATTTCTACACTTTGTGCAATTCTACATTATATTATGAGATTCTGGATTGAGATTAGGGATGAGTCTGGGATTATATACACAACCTTATGAAATTCCTTTCCTGAGTTTCCTTTTCTGTCACCAGCCTGACACATTCCAGTTCCCAGGGCCCACTCCTCTTCTGGTCTTCTGATTAAAACACCAAGGCTTCAGATTCTCCTCTCGGCTACACACCTAATGGACACACCCACCTCCAGGTCCAAGTAGCAAACAGTGAGAGACGAAAAGCAATGAGGATTCTTCCAACAGTTCTGACCAGAGATAAATGCTGTCCTCTCTGAGAGGTTTAGATGTCTGCTCAACCACCAGTGCCCTCAGCACAGACATGCCTGAGAGTAACAGACTGGTCTTATTTCAAAAATCTTGTTTCCTTCCCAAATCTGGCTGCCACCATCATTACTTTTCAGGATCCTCAGGCCACCGTTCCATGCATTCTCTAGGAAATTTAGTCATATTTAGTAGGAGATATAAGGTGTTGTGTGCTTATTCTATAAGAGGAACCAGAACAAACAATGGTTAAGTTATTTCCAATGATCACATCCATATAGGATAAACTCTCAAACCAGAAATTTATGAGTATAAAGGAAGAATACTGACTGGAAGCTTCATACGCATCACTTTACCAATCAAATTTTTGCTCCAATTTTTTATTAAAATTTTTTAACACAGAGAAGTTTACAGAATGACCAATGAACATACTATATCTTCCACAAAGATTCGACAACAGCTGACTAATTTTTTACATATTTATTTTAAAATATGCTACAAACATCATGACTCTTCAAATTTGAAAACTTTGGCATGCATCTCCTAAGAAGGATACTGTCCTTCATACTTCAACATCATCATAAAAATCATACCTCTAGGAAAATTAAACATACTACATCACCTAATACCCATTCTATCCTCGTATTTCCCCATGTCCCCCTAAATGTCTTACAGTTGTTTTGATTTTCTGAATCAGATGCCAAATAAGAATCACACTTTGCATTTGGTTATATCTCAAGTTTCTTAATCTAGACGACTCCACTCCTTGTTTTTTTATATTGGTTTCTTGAAAAGTCCAGACAAGCTATCTTGTACAATAACTCAAACTCTAGACTTGTCTAATTCTTCACTATGTAATTCAGTTTGTTCCTCTATTCCTTGTATTTCTTATAAACAGGAAGATAAGTCTAGATAAGAGATTTAATTAGAGTTCCTTTTTTTTTTTGGCAAGAATACATCACAGGATGATCATGTGTACTTTATATTGCATCTCATCAACAGTCACATATCAGCTTGTTCCACTGGTAGAGAAACTCAGTTTAATAGCCAGATTTCTCCATTATAAAGGAATATCTTTCCTCTGTCATGGGTATCTGTGATCTTGACACTGTGTAAATAATGCTTGTTAATTTTTTTCCCACATAATAGGGTTTTCCCATCCATTGAATGTGCCTAATTTAATTACATGAAGGGTTGTAAAATGGTGATTTTTCTAAATCTATCATTCCACATACAATGAAGAGATGACATTCTCCAAATAAGTATATAAAGAGGTTTTCTATTTTTCTCTGTTTTTTCTTTATAGGATCATTTTATTTTATTTAGTGCATTATAACCAATTACTGTGATTATTCTTTTTGATGTTCAAATTGTCCTAAATTTGACCAGTGGGGGCTCCTTTAAATTGGCCCTCACATCCTTCGGACATTATCCCTTTAGTCTTTGAGTTCTTTTTTTGTTTCACAAAAAAAGTATTCCAGGCATATCTTATATTTTCCCCATTCCAAACGTATGGAATCAGCCATTTCTCCAAGGAGCCCTACTTCCTTTTAGTGAGGAATAGCATTTAGAGACCAAAATCTGCATAATGTGTGGATACTGCTATTGGGTAATCAAATGTGATTTTATCTAGAATATCTTGCAAATGGCTCTGTATGATGTTAAAAACTGAGGTCTAAAAGCTTCATTTTCCTTAAGTGCTAAGTTCAGTCATGTCTGACTCTTTGCGGCTCTATGGACTGTAACCCACCAAGCTCCTTTGTCCATCAGATTCTCCAGGCAAGAATGCTGGAGTGGGTTGCCATGCCCTTCTCCAGGGAATCTTCCCAACCCAGGGATCGAATCCAGGGAACATCTCGTAGGTCTCCTGCATTGGCAGGCAGGTTCTTTACCACTAGTGCCACCTGGGAAGCCCCATTTTCCTTATTAACATACTTGAATACGTAAGAAACACCCCCCAGCTCACTCCGCTTTCTTTGACCATGACACGTAGCTTGAAGGATCTTAGTTCCCTGACCAGGGAAGGAACCTGGGCCCCAGCAGTGAAAACACCATGTTCTAAAAAACTTGACCAGCAGGGAATCCCCTAGAAAACACTTTCTAATGAGGTAAGACAAGTCAAATACTGAATGCTTGAGTTTAATTCTGAACTCAGGATACAGTTTAGATGTCTCAGGGTTCTAGCCAATTTTCATATTAATAGAACAGTTCTTTTGAATGATACACATTGTGAAAGTAAATATAAAACTGAAGGAAGTATACCCAGGGGAAAATGAAATCTTTCTGCAAAACATGGAACATGTTTGGATAACCAGTTTATACCAATAATTAGAATGTTTAATAATAAAATACTCATATATCACTTTACATAAAAGAAGTCCTAAAAGATGTGTAACAAAAATAAACAAAAAGGCAATTTTATATGTGAAACACCCAAATGTAATTTCACTATCTGGACCATAGCTAGGTTTTAGGATTTAAGTACAGTTACTATAAAAGCAGTTATAATTAGGGACTCATAAGAAAAAAGGAAAACATGACTAAGTCAATTATTAAGATTAAAATTGAGGGAATTATCAAACATAAAAATAAAACTGATTAAATTAATGCAATTGTGCCTAACCAGTTTACAAAACAAATAGCTTTGGTACTTGGACTCTTGGGGCCTGAGGTTGTAAATTAACCTATAATTATTACAACCAGACTGAAGATCTAGATTCTAGTCTTAATTGTACTCAAAAAGCTCAATTTCTTCATTAGTTAAAATGAAAGACTATAACTAACTAAATTAAAATCTCTCTTGGTGTTAATGAGCTACCAAGTATATAATCAGAGTCTGGAAATATATTCCTTTTGCAACATACAAGACAGTATTTGCATGATAGTCTCTCCACTTGCTTTAGTTTACACCAACTTCTCTAAGACTCTGTTCAGCAATGTAGAATCATATCATATTAAGAAATGATGTAAGAAAAGAAAAGGAAAAGACATCATTGGGCAAAATTTTAATTTTCAAAACTAAATTCTAAATTAGTAAAACCAAATTGCTTAATCATCAAAGAATTTTGAGAAAATACAGTCCAAAATTCTCTCTCTGTGTGTATATACACATGAATACATACACACATTTATGTCTATCACTGGTGGCTCAGGCTACAGTAAACAATCTGCTTGCAAAGCAAGAGACCCAGGTTTGATCCCTGGATCAGGAAGATCCTCTGGAGAAGGGAATGGCTCCCTACTCCAGTATTCTTGCCTGGAGAATTCCATGGACAGAGGAGCCTGGCAAGCTACAGTTTACAGGGTCGCAAAGAGCCAGACATGGCTGAGCAACTAACACACATATATATACATGTATATTTATAAATATAAATTGCTGGTGAGGCAGTTCACAAAAAGTGAGCTTAATTGTTTCCATGTGAAAATCTAAATTTAAAGAATTTCTTTTTATCTTTAGCTTCTCTTTATGAAAGAGAGCATGTCCTATATCTATCTGCCATTTTAGAAAATAAGGCCCCACACTTATTCACATTATTAATAACTCAGTGACTGCCTTTAAAAGAAAATTCATATTGAAACTTACTGTTAGAAAGGCAACAAAGTCTAATGAAAGAAATAAAACTTATATTCCATTGTTTTCAAAGTTAGGTCTTTTACAACTTTCTGTGAATTTAAAATTTTTATGTTTTTAGAAATCTTAAATTTACTGGTTCTTATAAAATTTGACAAGGCAGTGCTCTTAATATTTGTTGGTCACTTTTACCATTACTTAGTGATAACTAGCATATTTTCTCAAAGAGAAGTAAAAAAAAGGCTTGATTTACCAGAAGCCTGTGCCTTATTTATTATTCTCCTGATTATTCTCCAATGAGAACCCTTAAATTATTTCAGAGATGAATTAAACGTCATAGGGCTTATCTCCTCTAAGAAATCTCTGATCCCATATTCTTTCCATTTATAGAGTTTTTCTTTATTGTGAACTTTTTTGTGTCTACAAAGGTTTGATCTGTAACTGTAGGCTTTCCCACATTCCATACATTTATAGAGTTTCTCTCCAGTATGGATTCTCTCATGTTCAGTTAAGAATGAATACTGGCTGAAAGCTTTTCCACACTGATTACACTGATATGGTTTCTCTCCAGTATGGATTCTCTGATGCCTATAAAGATTAGATTTGCAACCAAAGGCTTTCCCACATTCTCCACATGTGTAAAGTTTTTCTCCAGTATGAATTTTCCGATGGTCATTAAAGGATGAATACTGGTTGAAGGCTTTCCCACATTCATTACATTGATATGGTTTTTGTCCAGTATGAATCCGCTGATGTTCAATAAAGGTTGAGATGCGAGTGAAATTTCTCCCACATTCCAAGCATTTACACAGTTGTTCTCCAGTATGAAGCCTCTGATGTTCAACCAGAGATGTAAACTGGCTGTAACTTTTCCCACATTCATGACATTTATAGGGTTTCTCACCTGTATGGATTTGTTGGTGTCTATGAAGCTTTGCTCTACAATTGAAGGCCTTCTCACATTCTCCACATTTATAGAGTTTTTCTCCAGTATGAATCCTCTGATGTACAGTGAGGGTGGAACACTGGCTAAAAGCTTTACCACAGTCCTTACACTGATAGGGTTTCTCTCCAGTATGCACTCTCAAATGTTTGATAAGGGTTGAACTGCTACTAAATGCTTTCTCACATTGATTACATCTGTAAGGTTTCTCCCCAGTATGAATTCTCTGATGGGCAAGAAGTGATGATCTGTGACTGAAGGTCTTCCCACACTCATTACATTTGTAAGGTTTCTCACCAGTATGAATTCTCTGGCCTTCAATAAGATGAAGACTCTGACTGAAGCTTTTTTCACATTCATTGTAAATATGAGGTTTTTCTCCTGGGTAAATCTGGAACCATCTCATTAGATCAATATTCTGTTTAAAATCTCTCCCAAAAGAATAATATATACTGGGTACTCTTTCCATAGGAACATTTTGTCGTCTAATAAGAACTGTATTTATAAATAAGCCTTTCCCTAATTCAAGACTTGTCTGGCTTCCAGCTCCACTGATGGTTTTCTTCTGTGAGGCTACCATTTGCCTGGGAGTTTTCTTCTGTTGCTCTTGTTGTGTCCTGCCCTCAAATTCCAAAGCTTCTCCACACTTGATGTCCAACTTAATGGAGTTTTTCATTATTATTCCTTGAGATGTTTCTCCTGTAGAGACGTCCTGTTTGCAAGGCGATGCTTCTATTTCAGGCCATGTCTTGAAACCTGGAATAAATCAGAATCATGGCTTCTCTGCTAGAAGAGAGTTTGATACCATATAATTTCAAATGTGAACTTGAATCTAGAGAAAACCAGGGTAGAATGGAAGGAGAAGTAAACAGGAGCAGTGTGGGAGAATACAGTGGACAAACTAAAGGTGACAACAAAGGTTTTGCCACCTGAGAGAAGTGAAGGCAGGGATCTTCCGAGACTAACAAAAGTTTGCAGATGTGAAGTTCTGAAGTATGCCCAAGCTCCAAGCACAGATCTGATTCTAAAGTGAAAAGATTTAGCTTGAGCTGATTCTAAGAAACCCTGAGTTAAAACCTGGCTTACTTTTATCAATCCATGATTGAAAATAGATTAAAGTTAGATCACTAATTAGGTAACTGTATGTACTTAAATAAACTATACAAATTAAATATAGACTATCTATGTTAATAAAATTCATCTGGTTTTAGTAATAAAAATATTTTATTGAAATTAAATAAGAATAAGAAATATAGGCTATAAATCTGTATAAGAATATAGATCTTTCTTAATGGTATCCATGGGAAAGCTAGCAGTTTAGATTTTCAAGGATCAACCAGGTACCTTCTCTCTTTTTACTCTTTCTCACAATATGATCTTCCCTGTCCATTTAGAAACTTACCCTACTACTCTAATCTTATTTCTTTACAAAAGCTCAATTATTTCAGCCTAAATAATCCACCTCTTTCTTCAAATTTCAAAACATATTTTCAAAACATTCAATCACTTAACTTATATATATAAAGTTTGTGAAAATAATTCAAAGTTATTTGTTCAAGGAGAGCAGTAGCTATGTCTTACGATGGTTTGTTAATTCTTTATTGTGTACACAGTTCGCATGTCTTAGATAAAAAAAATAAAGAATGAATGAGCAGAGTGACCAAGTTGGAAAAATTATTATGAAGGGCAGGTAACCTTGAAAACGAAAAGAGACCTCTCCTCTCTTACTGGACTCCTGAGACTCAGTTGTTTATTGAACAAATATTGAATAATTAGCAATGATAATAGGAAAAAAATAAATGGCCAAACAGTAATAGTTCATTTCTCCATAATCTGAGAAAACTCAACTGCATAATTCAAATTTGAGGTTCAGAAAATGAGGATACAGATATCAACAATATTGGTAAAGAATGGAAGAAAGACAATAGAGGTGGGTTGGATTTCAATAGACAAAGAAAAAAGGACACTGTGAGTCAAAAAGAAGGCCTGTTAAAGTCATCTGTGGGGAAAGTAAACCTATTTAGGGGAAGCTTATTGACTAAAGGGAATTTGAGTTGGAACTAGTTAAAATTTTGGTTAAGCACAGTAAGGCCAAATATACAGTTACTAAATAACTATTAGAAAAATTGACAATAATACAGATAATAGAAGGTGCTATAAATTCTTAGATAATAATAAGGCAAAAATGTTTATATTTAGTAAAATAGGCAGCCTGAATCAGAAGAAGGACAGAATGGAATCTGAAAAATAATGTAGTTGCAGTGGTCTGGCTGAATTGAGTAACTTGAGCCTCATTAGCACTAGTTAATCAGAGAGGTAATTTAATTCAATTAAAACAGAATTTAAAATCTTTTTAAAATATTACTAAATCTAATATATCAGATGCTTGAGGAACAGAATTGAAAGATCTGGCCTCTCCCTTAAATATGGACAATTTTATTAGAAAAATAATTAACAAACATAACTACAATTCATTGTGATAGATACAATAATGAATATACTCTATGTAGAAAGCGCTGTATGAATGATGGAAAAATTAATTCTGACTGGGAAGTAGGAGGGCTTCCCAGGTGGTGCAGTGGTAAAGACTCTGCCTGCCAATGCAGGAAATGCAAGGGTTCTATCCCTGGGTTGTGAAGATGCCCTGGAGTATGAAATGGCAACCCACTCTATTATTCTTGCCTGGAAAATTCCATGGACAGAAGAGCCTGGCAGGCTACAGTCCACAGTGTTGCAAAGAGTTGGACACGACTGAGCAAGTAAACAATTGAGGAAAGTAGGAAAGATAAGAAAAATCTACAGATAAGAGTGGCATATTAGGTGGACAAATGGATCTTGAAAGATAGATAGTTTACCAATGGACAAGGTAGAAGAGGTGATTCAACTGAAGGAATAACACACAAATGATAGTGAGTATGCAGATGTAGCCAGGAACACTGAGATGAAGAGGAAGTGGCCACTGATGAGACCATAAAGGCATAGGAAGACAGGCTAAGATGTAGGTTTAATGTCATACTAAGGGATCTTTCTTTACCCCATGGATAATGGAGAAACAATGAAGTCTCTTAAGGTACAGGATAAATACCTGAGTTTCAAAAAGATCACTGTGCTCATGGCATGGAAAGTCAGTGAGAAAAAAGCTTAGAGAAGGTAGGTATCTTTCCTATAGCGCATGTAAGAAGTGGTAAGGGTAAAGCAAAATTCGGAATGTCTAAGTTCAAACCATGATCTTTAATGCTATACTGTGCTACCTGGTGGTGGTGGTGCTGTGTGATCAGTCATGTTCTACTCTTTGTGACTCCATGCACTGTAGTCCACCAGGAAAAACTCGCTTGCTGATCCCTGGACTAGAAAGGCTACAATGGTAATGTTAATAACAGCTGACTGAATATATAATAGTGGGACATGACAATCTAGTCACCAAGAAAATAAGAAGTCAGAGACAAAGGAATGTTAATAATACTTTGAAATACGTGGATGGTAAAAAAGACATGAAAAAATTATTTAAAAAATTCAAAATATGGCAGAAGGTGTAAAGTGTTAAAAATCTTTCAGATTTGAACATGTGTAAATGCAGATGGAAAAATAAATAACATGAAGATCAAGAGGTGATAGAAGGAAGTGAGTGAGGCTGCAAAAAAAAGGTGGGGGGGGGGGGNATTATAAGCAAACAAGGAAACTCTCTGAATTTAAAAAAAAAGGGGGGGGGGGGGGGCAGGGAAAGAGAATGCAGGGAGTGGTATGAGAAGGAAAATGTCAAGACAAGGACTTTCTTGATGAAAGAAAACCATTACAACCAAGGAGCCTTGTCAGGTGGTCCTGAGCATTTCAACAGGGCTCAGAATTTCCAGGAGAGTTTTCGAACACTCCTCACAACCTGCTTATGTATAAAGACACTTGTGCTCATCCCCCAGTCACTTACTCACCAAGGCAGGTATCTTGAGGGATTTCTCTTTCCACCATGCAGGGATCTTCTCCTTGTTGCAACTGGCAGATCAACTTTGGCATTGAAAATGGAATCCCTGCTCATCAGGAAGGAAATGGAGTTTGAACAAATAGCATGAAAAGCAAGCCCCAAACTCACAAACCAGAACCTACAGGGCAGATAAGACAAGTCTAGAGAGGCAAAGTAGGCAGAATAAGCTCTCTTGAGAGGGACTGAGGCCTTCACGGGGATGTAGCAGGAGGTGGGTCTTGGTTCAGAAACAATACGGGGCCCTGTCAATGAACGCCATGAAGATAGGAGTCTTATGCGTTTTTCAGAATCTAAACTGGGTTCCAGTCATTGGAGTAGGAGGGAAGTATTAAGGAGGTGGGGTGGGAGGGGGGCAGAGGACAAAGCTTAGCATGAAGGGCATCAAAACAAACAGGTGCACTTTTAATTCTACAGAGATTTGTCCTTTTCCAGGGCAGAGGACAGAAACCTCAGACTGTGAACCTCCAAGGGAGCTCTAAGTCCTCCCACAGCAGATTCTCCGTGACAGGCAAGCCTCCTTACCCAGCGAGACCAGGGTGCTGTAGTTCTCCAGCATCACCTCCCGGTACAGGCTTCTCTGGGCAGCATCCAGGTGCAACCACTCGTCCCGGCTGAAGACCACAGCAACATCCCTAAACGTCACTGACTCCTGTAATGGCAAACCCATTCCCGTTTACCCAGGAGCATCTTCTCCCCGGAAGACTTGGTAAGAAGGCGACACTGGGATGTGCAGCAACTATTCTGAAAATGTCTCAGGATTCTAAACATGTCAAAGCAATGTTACTTTTGGAACCACCCATCAACTAACAAACAAATATTTATCGAGTAACCACTTGGAGCAAAGACACATGGCATGTTTGTAAGGGTATGGGAAAAAAGGGCAAATTTCCTGCCGAGAGGGAATTTATATTGCATCCTGGGATCTGTCAGAGTCCATTTACCTCCTCCTTCCAACTGAAAATCCAAATTAAATGAAAGGAAAAAAATCAGAGTACTTTTAGAGCAGTGCTGGAAAACTAGGAGAAATATCAGTAGTAGAACATAAATAAAAAGGAATTTCTGAGACATAAAGCAAATAATAAAAATAATATTGGTTAATGTCTATTGATGGACTTTCCTTGTGGCTCAGACGGTAAAGAATCAGCCTGCAGTGCAGGAGACCAGGGTTGGATCCCTGGTCAGAAAGATTCCCGGGAGAAGACAATAGCTACCTACTCCAGTGTTCTTGCCTGGAGAATTCCATGGACAGAGGAGCCTGGTGGGCTGTAGTCCATGGGGTCACAAAGATGTTAGAGGCTATGATAGAAACTTTCTATACAGTAGCCAATTTAAGTTTCACAGATATTCTATTAGGAAGACACAATAATTAAATAATTTTGCAGATAAAGAAACAGAAAGGTTACAAAATCTTTCCGAGCTACTACTGTTCGCGTGGTGGAGCTCCTAAGTGAATTCAGGTAGACAGATCTCTAAGCTATATTGTCAGATGGAAAAAATCAGAACTAAAGTACTACACTGGTGCAAAAGGGAAATGCTGAGAAGGTAAGATTTTCCAAGAGAATCCCAGTCAAACACAAAATGTAAGAAAGCAGACACCGTTTTTTTTTATGAAAGGGCTGAAGGGAGTGACAAACAGTGCAAGGCTTAGCGGGTAGTTTTAGAATCTGTCAAACTGTAAAAGGTACATCACTATGACCTTGCATTTCTACTTCTAGGATTCTACTACAAGGAATAATCACACAACTGGGTAGGGATATCTGCTCACAGATGTTCACTAAAAGATCACTTGTAAGTTAATGGTTATGGTAGGTTGAATAATAAACCTGTAAACATTGTACCTATGAAAAATGGGACTTTGAGGATCTGTTGAAGGATTTTGAGTGGAGGGAGCGATTATTCTGGATTATTATCAGAGGGATCTGGTGTAATCATAACAGTCCTTGTGAGAAGGATACAAAAGGAGTTAGAAGAGAAGGCTATGAAATGATGGAAGCAGAGATTGAAATGATATGCTTTAAAGATGCTTGAAAAGGCCACAGACCAAGGAAGACAGGGGATCACTAGAAGATGAAAACAAGATCAGGAAACAAACTCCCCACCTCTCGCCCTAGAGCCAAGGCAGAAAGAATCAGCCCTGCTGAGAACTTGGCCTTAAGTCAGTGAAACTGATTTCACACTTCTGACCTCCACAACTATAGGAGAACAAATTTACGTTGTTTTAGCCACTGGATTTGTTATAATTTGTCATGGCAACAATGGAAACTAATACAATGGTGAAATTTTCAAGACAACCTACATTATCTATAAATAAAGGAATAGATAAGCAATTTATACTGCATTTAGCCCATGAAATGTTATAAAGCCATTAAACAGAATGAGGTAGATTTGTATGCCTGACACTGGAATTTGACTGTGATATATTATCGATTCATATGAAAATGCAAGCTCCCAGTCAATATGTGTTGAAAAGTTTTTTATCTGTATATGCATAGGTGCATACAAAAGCATCTGGAAGAAAACAACAAGCTGTCCCAGATTATTCTTTGATATTTTAGAGAGGGACAGAATGGCAATCTACCACTTATATCCTTCATTAAGCTTACATTTTTTACAGGGTGTATGTTTGTTTTGACATTTTTTAAGATTCCACTTTAATTTACATATTCACTTCTTAGCTTTTCATTTTTGGTGGCTGCTGAGAATCATAATATATATCCTTAGTTCTTCACAGCATGTTTAGAGTTAATACGTGATTTCACATAGAAGGTAAAAACCTTGCAAACATATGGTTCTTCTTCATGCTGTAGTTTTTACAAAGTTATTACAAAGACATTCCCGGATCACAAAGCTGACAGGGCTCATCAGGTCACTCTGAGACTGCTCATGGAAAGCAAACAGTACAATTTTGTTGTAGCTGTTATTTAGTTGTCAAGTTGACTCTTTCGCAACCACACGGCTCCTCTGTCCCCCTGTCAGGTTCCTCTGTCCATGGAATTTCCCAGGCAAGAATACTGAAGAGGGTTGCCATTTCCTTCTTCAGGGAATATTACTGACCCAGGGGTCAAACCTGCATCTCCTGAACTGGCAGGTGAATTCTTTACCACTGAGTCACATGGGAAGCCCAAAGGGTACAATGCAGCAAAATAAAAACTGTGTAGGAAAGTTCTGGAAGTCAGAGATGCTTCATGAGTCTCCTTATTTGCATGCACAGACCATGCTGTGCCACTGGATCTATTAATAGATGAGAATTCTTGGTTTGGGGGTGCTCAAAGGAGAAACACTCAGCAGGGGCTTTTTATGCATCAAGCAAGGCTTGACATACCATATAAGCCAGGTGCAGATCAAGTGAAGATGACCCCGAGGGTGGTCAGTGGCATGTAAAGAGTACATCCAGGGCTTCCCTGGTTGCTCAGTGGTAAACCATCTGCCTGCCAATGCAGGAGACACAGGTTCAGTCCCTGAGCCAGGAAGCTCCCACATGCCTAAGAGCAACTAAGCTTGTGCACAACTATTGAACCTGTGCTCCGGAACCCAGGAGCTGCAATTCCTGAGCCCACACGCCGTAACTATTGAAGCCCTCATGCCCTAGAGCCTGGGCTGTGCAGCAAGAGAAGCCTGCAACTAGAGGGCAGCGCCAACACTCCACAGCTAGAGCAAAGATGCCATACAGTCAAAGAAAGAAAGAAAACTATAAAAGATAGAATAAAACGAGAGCACATCCACTGCCCTTATCTTGGCCAGGAATCAAAAAACAGCCATCCAGGCATCCCTGGAGACAAAACTTTTCCAGTCCAGACCTTAGTGAATTCTATATTCACAGTTGTCATATACATTACATCCACTTACATGATAAACTCCATAACACAACATTATATTTTTGCTTTAAATAATCATATGCATACCAAAGAAGCTGACTACAAAAAACTAGTTATATATTTCTATAATACACATATTTATCCAGACAGCCACCACTTTCAATACTCTTAATTTCCTTCTTAAGGTTACATCTGGCATTATTTCCCTTTAACTTGAAAAACTTCCTTTAGCATATCTTATACTGCAGAACTGCTGATGATGAATTAGCTTTGTTTTCTTTGATCTGAAAATGCCTTTATTTTACCTTCATTCTTGAAGAATATTTTCATTGTTTATAGAATTTGGGGTTGACAGTGTTTTTCTTTCAGCATATAAAACATCATTATTGTTTTCTGGCCACTGATGTCTCTAATGAGGAGCCAGTGGACATTCAGATATCGATTCTATGTATATAACATGGTTTTTTCCCCTGTCTGCTTTAAAATCTTTGGTTTTTGGTGACTTGTCTATGACTTCTCTGCCTGATATTATTGGCACCATCTACAAACAGATGTTCAGTGTTTAAAATGTGTAGTTGATTTACAGTGTTGTGCCAATCTCTGATGTACAGGAAAGTGACTGAGTTATACACACACAGACATTCTTTTATAATATTCTCTTCCATTATGGTTTATTATAGGATGTGGAATATAGTTCCCTGCGCTATACAGTAGGACCTTGTTGTTTATCCATCCTATATATAACAGCTTACATCTGCTAATTCCAAACTCCCAGTCCTTCCCTCCCACATCCTCCTCCCCTTGGCATCCACAAGTCTGTTCTCTATGAGTCTGCTGCTGTTTTGTATATCGGTTCATTTGTGCTCTATTTTAGATTTCACATCAAAGTGGTATCGTATGACATTTGTCTTTCTCTTTTTGACTTACTTTACTTAGTATGTTAATCTCTAGTCACATCCACGATGCTGCAGATGGCATTATTACCTTCTTTTTACGGCTGAATAACATTCCACTGTATGTACGTATACACACACAGACACACACCACATCTTTACCCACTCATCTGTCAATGGACGTTTAGGTTATTTCCAGTCTTGGCTGTTGGGAACAGTGCTGCCATGAACACAGGGGGGCATGTATCTTCTTAAATTACAATTTCATCTGGGTATATGCCCAGGAGTGGGATGGCTGGATCATACAGTAATTCTATTTTTAGTTTTCTGAGGAACCGCTACACTGTTTTCCACAGTGGCTGCATCAACTTACATTCCCACCAACACTGTAGGAGGGTTCCCTTTTCTCCACACCCTCTCCATCATCTGTAGACCATTTCTGCCACTGTAGTTTTTAATTGAAGGATGACTGCCTTACAGAATTTTGTTGCTTTCTGTCAAACATCAACAAGAATCATCCATGTCCCACCCTCCCAAACCTCCCTCCCCTCTTCCTCCCCATCCCACCCATCTAGAGTGTCACGGAGCCCCTGTTTGAGTTTCCTGAGTCACACAGTGAATTCCCGCTCGCTATCTATTTTACACATGGCATTGTGAGTTTCCATGTCACTCTCTCCATACACCTCCCCATCTCCCCCCCTCCCCCAGTGTCCACAGATCAGCTCTCTCTGTCTGTTTCTCCACTGTTGCCCTGCAAGTAAATTCATCGGTATCCTCTTTCGAGACTCCATATATATGTGTCAGCACACAATATTTACATTTCTCTTTCTGACTTACTTCACTCTGTATAATAGGCTCTAGGTTTGTCCACCTCATTAAAACTGACTCAAATGTGTTCCTTTTTTATGGCTGAGTGACATTCCATTGTATATATTTACCAC